TTAACAAAGTTTATTTTTGAATGAGCTCTTGGAATTTTCACTTATAATAAAAGCTACGAATTTAACGACATACAAAGAATAAATTATTGATGCCCCGAAACAGCGTGATAAATCAAACAGGGTGATCACCTTACCGATATTTATTAGAGGTTCATAGAGAACCAATGAATTGTCGTTGAAAAAACTAAAGAAGAAAGACGTAGAAATTTATACAGAGTGGGCCTTTGAAAACGAAACAGAGGCTCTGTAGGTCGCCAAAACCGGATTATGAAAAGAATCTGAAACACGTCAACTATGTTTTCGAGGGGGACATCGTCCTACAATATTTTCAGCCCTGCGGCGTTGCCGCTGCTAACGAAAAGAAGCAACAACTTTGTTATTTCAAATGGAACACCTTGTATTTCATTGCATTTTTAGATTCTCCCCGAAGAGCTGATTTCATCAATGCTTCACACTTGGGGTCTAGCTGTAATGGTTTCAGGGATATAAAGTGTTCAAAATCGAGATTTTTCAACTTTGACATTTTTTTGTGTCGAAACTATTCATTATTGGTCGAAACGGCTCACATGTCCCTATCTCAACTTGTGATTTACTATCTACTGACATTTAATTGGAACAGATACAGGGTGATCAGAATTCTGAATCTTGAACCACCCTGTATTTGTTTCAAATAAATGTCAGTAGACAGTAAATCACAAGTTGAGATCGGGACATGAGATCCGTTTTGACCAATAATGAATAGTTTCGACACAAAAAAATGTTAAAGTTGAAAATTTTCGATTTTGAACACTTTATATCCCTGAAACCATTACAGCTAGACCCTAAGTGTGATGCATTGATGAAATCAGCTCTTCGGGGAGAATCTAAAAATGCAATAAAATACAAGGTGTTCCATTTGAAATAACAAAGTTGTTGCTTCTTTTCTTTAGAAGCGGCAACGCCGCAGGGCTGAAAATATTTTAGAAAGATGTCCCCCTCGAAAATGTAGTTGACCTGTTTCAGTTTTTTTTTGATAATCCGGTTTTGGCGACCTACAGAGCCTCTGTTTCGTTTTCAAAGGCCCACTCTGTATAGGTAATAAAAGTGTGTTGATAAATACACATCATAGAAAATATTAGCACCTCCGTAATCAGTACATTCTATTTTGTGTATTTATCAACCACACTTTTATTACCTATATCAATTTCTATTTATTAGTTCGGCTTACTATACAAAAGCGTGTTTTTTTTTTGGTATTTCTAGTGTTCTTATATTTTTTGGAGGTACCCAAATTTGACGAAAGAATCATAATCTCGGACCTCGTTAACCCCCAGATACTAACTTTGAATAGAATCGGATCATATAATTAGAAAACTCGTCCACCATATTGGATTCGCCATATTGACTTTTCCAATTTTTACGAAAGAATCATAATATTTAACCCTGAGCCTATACTCACTACTTACATTTCAATTAGCTATGTCATTACTAAGAGTCTCCTTCACTATTGTGAGATATAACAGCAGTTTGTGAAACTAAAATAAATGAATTATTGAAATCATAATTTCATAGATACAGGATATTTCTGATGACGATATTATTGAAGTTAGATTCCTGTGGTGAATATTTTCATAATATTATTTCGAGTATTTCACCGGTTCCTCAAGAGGCATCAATTCGCGGTTTTCACCATTTTTCTTCTTGATGGCTCTACTTTCATATCAGAGTAGAATGAATATATGGTTCCATTCGAGATTTTCGAAAAGAGTGGAAAATTGTCTGATTTTTCAAACGATGCCATCTACCGGCCACCACAGGATTTAAATCGACTTGATTCGTGATTCATCTGGAAGAACCAAAAAAACCCTTTAAAATGAGACCAAGATCGTTGAATTCCGTGTCACCAAACTGTAGTAATGGGAGTTTTTTCAAAGTACTATTTATCCTTCCCTCCCTCTTTCATTTAAAGAGCTAGCGCAATTTTTCTTATCGAAATGATTGGAAATCAACTCGAGGACATGAAGACAGTGTTTTTGATATGTCTTGATATATCAAATTTTCATAAAATCCCGTTTATCAAACTGGCCAATGCCATTACGCCCTCTAGGGGTTGTCCTGGAAACTTGAAAATAATTTCCAGAGATTTCTCTTGGCCACTTCTATCATTCATATTTTTTTTTTTTTCGAAACCTGTGCAGCAAATAGTTTCCGAGATACAGCCGGCGTCCTTAGTGGTACACCCGGTACATAGCATACATACCTGCATCCTGCATACAGGTGAAGCTAATAAATGGGTGTTCCTGAAATTTTAGTTACAGCTTCAGCGCGATGTGATATATTTTTGTAATATATCAATTTTCCATACGCTGTCACTTTCACTTATTTTTGTGATATTGTATATGCTTTGCAATAAAATATCCAAAAAAAATAATTTACACCTATTCCTGTTCCTGTACCAGAACAGAGTTAACAGCCATCAACTGCTATCATACAATTCATTCTATTATTCCAAATTCTTGAACCACATCGGAATTGATGTACGTCATAATAACCCATGATGTATTATTATTGAGATTAATTACTGAAAAATATGCGAAATCATATCAAAATTATACAGCCGACAATAAGATGTGACTCATATCGATGAAATTTAGCGTTAACAAAATATTTTCTAGGAAACAACCTGAACGCAAATTAGCGAGTTGAAATGGCATAATTAATGTGGAGTATAAAAAATGATATTCCATCATCAGATTTTATATAACATTTTGCATGATGTTGCCGTTCACTTTTTGGAGATCCTAATCTGTCAATTATTAGTTTTAGAGATGCTAGGAATATAAGATATCCTAATCAAGGTTGATGATGGCTAAAACTGGGTCTTAACACATTCAAAACCACTTCGTATAATACATGATTTTAAAAATTTCTTTCTTTTATCTCACTAGACCAAATTCGTATCGATTTATCTTCGTATCTTGGTCACAGTGTTAAATACATTTTTAATATCCCTCTGTATAGGATATGAAATCTGAATTCGAATAATTATGATGTAATCTCCATAATAGCTTAAACATAAAAACATAAAATAATATGTATACAAATAAAAGTATAAGTATAATTTTTTTTCGTCAGTTCATAGGTGTACCTTCATGTAATTTCAAGAGGTGTCATGGTTAGTTGGTCGGATGATCCAACTAATGTTTACGTTGGCAGTGAAAATCGGTGAGAATCATTTTTTTTACATTGTTTCGATATAACGAGTTCAGATCGGCATCGCTTGGTCACATAATGATATTTTCAAATGACAAATAAATGATATTATTTGTGTTAACAAAGTACCTACACAATTTAGTCCACGCAAATCATCTCCACGACAGTTTATATTTATAAAACCCCTGCATTAGTTTATGCGTGGTTCAAACACGAGCCTGACACCTAACCTGACTAATTTCTTATAGGCTGATGATGGACATATGTATGTCCGCAAAACATGTTCCTGACGTGACATTGTACACATACGACTAGAATTTACTATAAACCTCATGTCCTAATTTGATTCGTTTTTCAGTTACATGGTACATGCTGTCAAAGTTGATTAAAAATGATGAGGTTTATTCGAAATCGAAAACATTCCAATGAATTGTTGAGGGAAAATGGAAAAGTGATTTGAATAATCTGATTCCCAGTGGCACCGTAAGAGGGATATTATAATTTTGTTTTTTACTGAAAAGTGAGCAGCGAAGGGAAATTTATAAATCACATACAAAACTATGAAAGGCCAATTTTGTTCAAGAAAGAACCAACTGTTGAAACTGGATAGAACGCAACGTTTTCAAGAATGAATAATTGTAGTGAAAATGAAATAATAAAAGTGTGTTTATTAATAAATACACAACCTACATTATTTTTTTGTATACAGGGTGGGCCACCAGTAACGCCTCGGTCTCTAGAAGGCTAACCACTTATCTTCTTGGAATTCTTCCTCTCTAGGAAGTTGCATGTCAACATAGGCTACCATTTAAAATTATTTCGAAACATACAGGGTGTCCCCAAAAACCATAAAACACTGAAGTTAAACTTTTTTCTATCAAACTACCTATATATTATTTCATTTTGAGATTCTCCCTGATGAGCTGATTTCAACGACCCATCATACTTGGGGTCTAGAAGTTATAATTACTGAAATATAGGGTGTGAAAAATCGAGATTTTCCAAGTTCAAGAATTTTTTGTGTCGAAACTATTCATAATTGGTCAAAACGGCTTACATGTCCCTATCTCAACTTTTGATTAGCTATATACTGAAATTTAATTGAAACACATACAGGGTGGTGCAGAATTCAGAATCTTGATCACCCGGTATATGTCCCAATTAAATATCAGTAGATAGTTAATCAAAAGTTGAGATAGGGACATGTAAGCCGTTTTGACCAATTATGAATAGTTTCGACACAAAAAATTCTTGAACTTGGAAAATCTTGATTTCTCACACCCTATATCTCAGTAATTATAACTGAAGTATGATGGATTGTTGAAATCAGCTCACCCGTTCACCAGGGAGAATCTCAAAATGAAATAATATATAGGATGTTCGATTGAAAAAAGTTCAACTTCAGTGTTTTGTGATTTTTGGGGACATCCTGTATGTTTCAAAATAATTTCAAATGGTAGCCTATGTTGACATGCAACTTCCTAGAGAGGAAGAATTCCAAGAAGATAAGTGGTTAGCCTTCTAGAGACCGAGGCGTTACTGGTGGCGCACCCTGTATTTTTTGTTGCCATACTTGTCGAAAAAACGATAAAAACGCATTTTTTGTATTCACTCAATATACCTGTACTGGATAACTATAACATTCTGAAATTCCACTACGTCAGTCACATAACAAAATGAATTTTGCCTTTACGGAGGCACTTTCAGTCCTAAAATAGGTCAATACATACATGACATCTACCATATTTTCAATATAGTAAAAAAAATGTCGAGGTTTCTTAAAAAAATCTGTCCAATCGTAAACAAATCAACTCACCCCGCACCGACCTTCTCGTACCATCCCTTGTAAATCCTCAAGTATCTGTCCTTCGGTTCCACGCTGAAATCCCCCAAACAAAACATCCTAAATGCACATTCCCCGTAATGTCCGATACCATACAACTCCACAACACTAGTCCACTTCTTGAACAAGAAATCGTAGGACATCCTGTACAACTGCAACGCCCTGGTGCGTTGCAGCCCCACACCGACAAAGTACTTTTCCAAGTCCTGCAAGGACTTGTCCAAAACGTCCCGAGGACTACGGTGGTCCTGAAGGAATCGCAACAGGTGGTGTCTGGCTACGGTGCAGTTGGTTTTGTTCAAGAAGATGGTGGCGACCAATAGGGACCAAGGGTCCTGATAGAGGAATTCTTCTATGAGGTTGTGGGGCGATCTGGGGGGTTTCCAGGAAGAATGGTGTGAGGTCAATTTTTCACTGAAGGTTTCCACATTTTGCTGCTGCAGATTCGTATTGGAAAACTTTTTGTAGTTGGTATCCGAATGGTTTGTTGCAGTTGCTTTGTTGGGTGAAGCGATGTTTTCATTCATATATGGATTGAACCGGAGGTTTTTGTTGATCTGGGGATGTTCAGGAGAAGCTCGAGAAGTTGGGATAGTTTCCAGGTTTTTCTCTTCTAGAGTCTTGTTGGCATAGTGTTCGAAACTCATATCTACCTCCTCTAATCGAGTTGTTTGGTTGAGTGGGACCAATGGGGACCAAGGGTCGTGATAGAGGGTCTCTTTGAAAACTGCAAAAAATCCTGAAAATTGCAAAAATTGCAGAAATCGCAAAAATGCCTGAAAATTGCAAAAAACGCAAAAATGCCTGAAAATTGCAAAAATCGCAAAAATGCCTGAAAATTGGAGAAATCGCAAAAATTCCTGAAAATTGCAGAAATAGCGAAAATTGCAAAAATTTCAAAAATTTCTGAAAATTGCAGAAATTGCATAAATTGCAAAAATTCCTGAAAAATTGCAAAACTTGCAAAAATTCCTGAAAATTTTCAAGAATTACAAAAATTGCAAAAATCGCAAAAATGCCTGAAAATTGCAAAATTTACTGAAATTGCAGAAATCGCAAAAATGCCTGAAAATTGCAAAAATCGCAAGAATTCCTGAAAATTGCAAAAATCGCAAAAATGCCTGAAAATTGCGAAAATTGCAAAGATGCCTGAAAATTGCAAAAATTCCTGAAAATTGCAAAAATTGCAAGAATCGCAAAAATGCCTGAAAATTGCAAAAATCGCAAAAATGGCTGAAAATTGCAAAAATTCCTGAAAATTGCAAAAATTGCAAAAATCGCAAAAATGCCTGAAAATTGCAAAAATCGCAAAAATGACTGAAAATTGCGAAAATTCCTGAAAATTGCAAAAATTGCAAAAATCGCAAAAATGCCTGAAAATTGCAAAAATCGCAAAAATGACTGAAAATTGCAAAAATTCCTGAAAATTGCAGAAATTGCAAAAATCGCAAAAATGCCTGAAAATTGCAAAAATCGCAAAAATGCCTGAAAATTGCAAAAATCGCAAAAATTTCTGAAAATTGCAAAAATTCCGGAAAATTGTAAAAATTCCTGAAAATTCCTGAAAATTGCAAAAATCGCAAAAATGCAAAATTGCAAAAATTGCAAAAATTTCTGAAAATTGCAAAAATTCCCGAAAATTGAAAAAATCGCAAAAATTCCTGAAAATTGCAAAAATCGCAAAATTTCCTGAAAATTGCAAAAAATTCCTGAAAATTGCAAAAATTGCAAAAATTCCTGAAAATTGCAAAAATCGCAAAAATTGCGAAAATTCCTGAAAATTGCAAAAATCGCAAAAATTCCTGAAAATTGCAAATATTGCAAAAATACCTGAAAATTGCAAAAATTGCATATATTCCTGAAAATTGCAAAAATTCCTTAAAATTGCAAAAAGTCCTGGCATTTTTGCGATTTATGCAATTTTCAGGAATTTTTACAATTTTCAGGAATTTTCGCAAAATTTTGAAATTTTTGCAATTTCTGCAATTTTCAGGAATTTTAGCGATTTTTGCAATTTTCAGGAATTTTTGCAATTTTCAGGAATTTGCGATTTTTGCAATTTTCGGGAATTTTTGCAATTTTTGCATATTTCAGGAATTTTTGCAATTTTTGCAATTTTCAGGAATTTTTGCAATTTTCAGGAATTTTTGCAATTTTTGCAATTCTCAGGCATTTTTGCGATTTTTGCAATTTTCAGGCATTTTTGCGATTTTTGCAATTTTCAGGAATTTTTGCGATTTTTGCAATTTTCAGGAATTTTTGCGATTTTTGCAATTTCTGCAATTTTCAGTAAATTTTGCAATTTTCAGGCATTTTTGCGATTTTTGCAATTTTCAGGCATTTTTGCGATTTTTGCGATTTTTGCAATTTTCAGGAATTTTTGCAATTTTCAGGCATTTTTGCAATTTTCGCAATTTTCAGGCATTTTCGCGATTTTTGCAATTTTTGCAATTTTCAGGAATTTTTGCAATTTTCAGGCATTTTTGCGATTTTTGCAATTTTCAGGAATTTTTGCGATTTTTTCAATTTTCAGAAATTTTCAATATTTTCAGGAATTTTTGCAATTTTTGCAATTTTCAGCAATTTTTGCAATTTTCAGGCATTTTTGCGATTTTTGCAATTTTCAGGAATTTTTGCGATTTTTGCAATTTTCAGGAATTTTCAATATTTTCAGGAATTTTTGCAATTTTTGCAATTTTTGCAATTTTCAGGCATTTTTGCAATTTTTGCAATTTTCAGGCATTTTTGCGATTTTTGCAATTTTCAGGAATTTTTGCGATTTTTTCAATTTTCAGGAATTTTTAATATTTTCAGGAATTTTTGCAATTTTTGCAATTTTCAGCAATTTTTGCAATTTTCAGGCATTTTTGCGATTTTTGCAATTTTCAGGAATTTTTGCGATTTTTTCAATCTTCAGGAATTTTCAATATATTCAGGAATTTTTGCAATTTTAACAATTTTCAGCAATTTTTGCAATTTTCAGGAATTTTTACAATTTTCCGGAATGTTGGCAATTTTCAGAATTGCAATTTTCAGGCATTTTTGCGATTTTTGCAATTTTCAGGAATTTTTACAATTTTCCGGAATGTTGGCAATTTTCAGAAATTTTTACAATTTTTGCAATTTTCAGGCATTTTTGCGATTTTTGCAACTTTCAGGCATTTTTGCAATTTTTGCAATTTTCAGGAATTTTTGCAATTTTCAGGCATTTTCAGGAATTTTTACAATTTTCCGGAATGTTGGCAATTTTCAGAAATTTTTGCAATTTTTGCAATTTTCAGCCTTTGCGATTTTTGCAATTTTCAGGAATTTTTGCAATTTTCAGGCACTCAATTTTCAGGCATTTTTGCGATTTTTGCAATTTTCAGGCATTTTTGCAATTTTCAGGCATTTTTGCGATTTTTGCAATTTTCAGGAATTTTTACAATTTTCAGGAATTTTCGCAAATTTTTGAAATTTTTGCAATTTCTGCAATTGTCAAGAATTTTTGCAATTTTTGCAATTTTCAGGAATTTTTGCAATTTTTGAAATTTTCAGGAATTTTTGCGATTTTTGCAATTTTCGGGAATTTTCGCAATTTTAAGGAATTTTTGCAATTTTCAGGAATTTTTGCAATTTTTGCAATTTTCAGGTTTTTTTGCAATATTTGCAATTTTCAGGAATTTTTGCGATTTTTGCAATTTTCAGGAATTTTTGCAATTTTTGCAATTTTCAGGAATTTTTGCGATTTTTTCAATTTTCAGGAATTTTTACAATTTTCAGGAATTTTTGCAATTTTCAGGAATTTTTGCAATTTTCAGGAATTTTTGCGATATTTGCAATTTTCAGGAATTTTTGCAATTTTTGCAATTTTCAGTAATTTTTGCGATTTTTGCAATTTTCGGGAATTTTTGCAATTTTTGCAATTTTCAGGAATTTGCGATTTTTGCAATTTTCGGGAATTTCTGCAATTTTAAGGAATTTTTGCAATTTTCAGGAATTTTTGCGATTTTTGCAATTTTCTGGAATTTTTGCAATTTTTGCAATTTTCAGGAATTTTTGCGATTTTTTCAATTTTCAGGAATTTTTACAATTTTCAGGAATTTTTACAATTTTCAGGAATTATTGCAATTTTTGCAATTTTTGCAATTTTCAGGCATTTTTTGCGATTTTTGCTATTTTCAGGCATTTTTGCGATTTTTGCAATTTTCAGGAATTTTTGCGATTTTTGCAATTTTCAGGAATTTTTGCGATTTTTGCAATTTCTGCAATTTTCAGAAAATTTTGCAATTTTCAGGCATTTTTGCGATTTTTGCAATTTTCAGGAATTTTTGCGATTTTTTCAATTTTCAGGAATTTTCAATATTTTCAGGAATTTTTGCAATTTTTGCAATTTTTGCAATTTTCAGGCATTTTTGCGATTTTTGCAATTTTCAGGAATTTTTGCGATTTTTTTCAATTTTCAGGAATTTTTAATATTTTCAGGAATTTTTGCAATTTTTGCAATTTTCAGGCATTTTTGCGCGTTTTGCAATTTTCAGGAATTTTTGCGATTTTTTCAATCTTCAGGAATTTTCAATATTTTCAGGAATTTTTGCAATTTTTGCAATTTTTACAATTTTCAGCAATTTTTGCAATTTTCAGGAATTTTTACAATTTTCCGGAATGTTGGCAATTTTCAGAATTGCAATTTTCAGGCATTTTTGCAATTTTTGCAATTTTCAGGAATCTTCAGGAATTTTTACAATTTTCCGGAATGTTGGCAATTTTCAGAAATTTTTACGATTTTTGCAATTTTCAGGCATTTTTGCGATTTTTGCAATTTTCAGGAATTTTTGCGATTTTTTCAATTTTCGGGAATTTTTGCAATTTTCAGAAATGTTTGCAATTTTTGCAATTTTTGCAATTTTTGCAATTATCAGGCATTTTTGCAATTTTTGCAATTTTCAGGCATTTTTGCAATTTTCAGGCATTTTTGCGATTTTTGCAATTTTCAGGAATTTTTGCGATTTTTTCAATCTTCAGGAATTTTCAATATTTTCAGGAATTTTTGCAATTTTTGCAATTTTCAGCAATTTTTGCAATTTTCAGGAATTTTTACAATTTTCCGGAATGTTGGCAATTTTCAGAATTGCAATTTTCAGGCATTTTTGCGATTTTTGCAATTTTCAGGAATTTTCAGGAATTTTCAGGAATTTTTACAATTTTCCGGAATTTTTGCAATGTTCAGTCATTTTTGCAATTTTTGCGATTTTCAGGCATTTTTGCGATTTTTGCAATTTTCAGGCATTTTTGCAATTTTTGCAATTTTCAGGAATTTTTGCAATTTTCAGGCATTTTCAGGAATTTTTACAATTTTCCGGAATTTTTGCAATTTTCAGAAATTTTTGCAATTTTTGCAATTTTCAGGCATTTTTGCGATTTTTGCAATTTTCAGGAATTTTTGCAATTTTCAGGCACTTTTGCGATTTTTGCAATTTTCAGGCATTTTTGCGATTTTTGCAATTTTCAGGCATTTTTGCGATTTTTGCAATTTTCATGCATTTTTGCAATTTTTGCAATTTTCAGGCATTTTTGCGATTTTTGCAATTTTCAGGAATTTTACAATTTTCAGGAATTTTCGCAAATTTTTGAAATTTTTGCAATTTCTGCAATTGTCAAGAATTTTTGCAATGTATGCAATTTTCAGGTATTTTCGCAATTTTTGAAATTTTCAGGAATTTTTGCGATTTTTGCAATTTTCGGGAATATTTGCAATTTTAAGGAATTTTTGCAATTTTCAGGAATTTTTGCGATTTTTGCAATTTTCAGGAATTTTTACAATTTTCAGGAATTTTTGCAATTTTCAGGAATTTTTGCAATTTTCAGGAATTTTTGCGATTTTTGCAATTTTCAGGAATTTTTGCAATTCTTGCAATTTTCAGTAATTTTTGCGATTTTTGCAATTTTCGGGAATTTTTGCAATTTTAAGGAATTTCTGCAATTTTCAGGAATTTTTAATATTTTCAGGAATTTTTGCAATTTTTGCAATTTTCAGCAATTTTTGCAATTTTCAGGAATTTTTGCAATTTTCAGGCATTTTTGCGATTTTCGCAATTTTCAGGAATTTTTGCGATTTTTGCCATTTTCAGGAATTTTTACAATTTTCAGGAATTTTTGCAATTTTTGCAATTTCTGCAATTTTTAGGAATTTTTGCAATTTTTGCAATTTTCAGGAATTTTTGCAATTTTTGCAATTTTCAGGCATTTTTGCGATTTTTGCAATTTTCAGGCATTTTTGCAATTTTTGCAATTTTCAGGCATTTTTGCGATTTTTGCAATTTTCAGGAATTTTTGCGATTTTTGCAATTTCTGCAATTTTCAGGCATTTTTGCGATTTTTGCAATTTTCAGGCATTTTTGCAATTTTTGCAATTTTCAGGCATTTTTGCGATTTTTGCAATTTTCAGGAATTTTTGCGATTTTTTCAATTTTCAGGAATTTTTAATATTTTCAGGAATTTTTGCAATTTTTGCAATTTTCAGCAATTTTTGCAATTTTCAGGAATTTCTGCACTTTTCAGGCATTTTTGCAATTTTTGCAATTTTCAGGAATTTTTACAATTTTCCGGAATTTTTGCATTTTTGCAATTTTCAGGCATTTTTGCGATTTTTGCAATTTTTGCAATTTTCAGGAATTTTTGCAATTTTTGCAATTTTCAGGCATTTTTGCGATTTTCGCAATTTTCAGGAATTTTTGCGAGTTTTGCAATTTTCAGGCATTTTTGCGATTTTTGCAATTTTCAGGCATTCTTGCGATTTTTGCAATTTTCAGGAATTTTTACAATTTTCAGGAATTTTTGCAAATTTTTGCAATTTCTGCAATTTTCAGGAATTTTTGCAATTTTCAGGAATTTTTGCAATTTTTGCAATTTTCAGGCATTTTTGCGATTTTTGCAATTTCCAGGCATTTTTGCGATTTTTGCAATTTTTGCAATTTTCAGGAATTTTTGCAATTTTCAGGAATTTTTGCAATTTTTGCAATTTTCAGGCATTTTTGCGATTTTTGCAATTTCCAGGCATTTTTGCGATTTTTGCAATTTTCGCAATTTTCAGGCATTTTTGCGATTTTCAGGAATTTTTACGATTTTCAGGAATTTTTGCAAATTTTTGAAATTTTTGCAATTTCTGCAATTTTCAGGAATTTTTGCGATTTTTGCAATTTTCAGGAATTTTTGCAATTTTCAGGAATTTTTGCGATTTTTGCAATTTTCGGGACTTTTTGCAATTTTGAGGAATTTTTGCAATTTTCAGGTATTTTTGTAATATTTGCAATTTTCAGGAATTTTTGCGATTTTTGCAATTTTCAGGAATTTTCGCAATTTTTGCGATTTTTGCAATTTTCAGGAATTTTTGCAATTTTTGCAATTTTCAGGAATTTTCAGGAATTATTGCGATTATTGCAATTTTCAGGAATTTTTGCGATTTTTTCAATTTTGCAAAAATTCCTGAAAATTGCAAAAATCGCAAAAATTGCGAAATTCCTGAAAATTGCAAAAAGTCCCGAAAATTGCAAAAATCGCAAAAATTCCTGAAAATTGCAGAAATTGCAAAAATTTCAAAAATTTGCAAAAATCCTGAAAATTGCAAAAATCGCAAAAATGCCTGAAAATTGCAAAAATTGCAAAAATGCCTGAAAATTGCAAAAATCGCAAAAATGCCTGAAAATTGCAAAAATCGCAAAAATGCCTGAAAATTGCAAAAATTGCAAAAATTCCTGAAAATTGCAAAAATTGCAAAAATTCCTGAAAATTGCAGAAATTGCAAAAATTTGCAAAAATTCCTGAAAATTGTAAAAATTCCTGAAAATTGCTAAAATCGCAAAAATGCCTGAAAATTGCAAAAATTGCGAAAATGCCTGAAAATTGCAAAAATCGCAAAAATGCCTGGAAATTGCAAAAATCGCGAAAATGCCTGAAAATTGCAAAAATGCCTGAAAATTGCAAAAATTGCAAAAATGCCTGAAAATTGCAAAAATTGCAAAAATTGCAAAAATTTCTGAAAATTGCAAAAATTCCGGAAAATTGTAAAAATTCCTGAAAATGCCTGAAAATTGCAAAAATGCCTGAAAATTGCAAAAATTCCTGAAAATTGCAAAGATTCCTGAAAATTGTAAAAATTGCAAAAATTCCTGAAAATTGAAAAAATCGCAAAAATTCCTGAAAATTGCAAAAATTGCAAAGATTCCTGAAAATTGCAAAAATCGCAGAAATGCCTGGAAATGCAAAAATCGCAAAAATGCCTAAAAATTGCAAAAATTGCAAAAATGCCTGAAAATTGCAAAAATCGCAAAAATGCCTGAAAATTGCAAAAATCGCAAAAATGCCTGAATATTGAAAAAATCGCAAAAGTGCCTGAAAATTGCAAAAATTCCTGAAAATTGCAAAAATGCCTGAAAATTGCAAAAATTGCAAAAATTTCTGATGTAAAAATTCCTGGAAATTGAAAAAATCGCAAAAATTCCTGAAAATTGCAAAAATTGCAAAAATTTCTGAAAATTGCAAAAATCGCAAAAATTCCTGAAGATTGCAAATATTGCAAAAATACCTGAAAATTTCAAAAATTGCAAAAATTGCGAAAATTCCTGAAAATTGCAAAAATTCCCGAAAATTGCAAAAATCGCAAAAATTCCTGAAAATTGCAAAAATTCCTGAAATTGCAAAAATCGCAAAAATTCCTGAAAATTGCAGAAATTGCAAAAATTTCAAAAATTTGCGAAAATTCCTGAAAATTGTAAAAATTCCTGAAAATTGCAAAAATCGCAAAAATGCCTGAAAATTGCAAAAATTGCAAAAATGCCTGAAAATTGCAAAAATCGCAAAAATGCCTGAAAATTGCAAAAATCGCAAAAATGCCTGAAAGTTGCAAAAATTGCGAAAATTCCTGAAAATTGCAAAAATTGCAAAAATTCCTGAAAATTGCAGAAATTGCAAAAATTTGCAAAAATTCCTGAAAATTGTAAAAATTCCTGAAAATTGCAAAAATCGCAAAAATGCCTGAAAATCGCAAAAAATTTCAAAAATTCCTGAAAAATGCAAAAATTGCAAAAATTCCGGAAAATTGTAAAAATTCCTAAAAATCCCTCAAAATTGCGAAAATCGCAAAAATGTCTGAAAAATTGCAAAAATCGCAAAAAATGGACTGAAAATTGCAAAAATTGCAAAAATTTCAAAAATTTGCGAAAATTCCTGAAATTGTAAAAATTCCTGAAAATTGCAAAAATCGCAAAAATGCCTGAAAATTGCAAAAATTGCAAAAATGCCTGAAAATTGCAAAAATCGCAAAAATGCCTGAAAATTGCAAAAATCGCAAAAATGCCTGAAAGTTGCAAAAATTGCGAAAATTCCTGAAAATTGCAAAAATTGCAAAAATTCCTGAAAATTGCAGAAATTGCAAAAATTTGCAAAAATTCCTGAAAATTGTAAAAATTCCTGAAAATTGCAAAAATCGCAAAAAATGCCTGAAAATTGCAAAAATTTCAAAAATTCCTGAAAAATGCAAAAATTGCAAAAATTCCGGAAAATTGTAAAAATTCCTAAAATCCTCAAAATTGCGAAAATCGCAAAAATGTCTGAAAATTGCAAAAATCGCAAATGACTGAAATTGCAAAATTGCAAAAATTTCAAAAATTTCAAAAATTTGCGAAAATTCCTGAAAATGTAAAAATTCCTGAAAATTGCAAAAATCGCAAAAATGCCTGAAAATTGCAAAAATTGCAAAAATGCCTGAAAATTGCAAAAAACGCAAAAATGCCTGAAAATTGCAAAAATCGCAAAAATGTCTGAAAATTGCAAAAATTCCTGAAAATTGCAAAAAATCGCAAAAATGCCTGAAAGTTGCAAAAATTTCTGAAAATTGCAAAAATTCCTGAAAATTGTAAAAATTCCTGGAAATTGAAAAAATCGCAAAAATTCCTGAAAATTGCAAAAATTGCAAAAAATTCCTGAAAATTGCAAAAATCGCAAAAAATTCCTGAAAATTGCAAATATTGCAGAAATACCTGAAAATTGCAAAAATTGCAAAAATTGCGAAAATTCCTGAAAATTGCAAAAATTCCTTAAAATTGCAAAAATTCCCGAAAATTGCAAAAATCGCAAAAAATTCATGAAAATTGCAAAATTCCTGAAAATTGCCAAAATCGCAAAAATTCCTGAAAAATTGCAGAAATTGCAAAAATTTCAAAAATTTGCGAAATTCCTGAAAATTGTAAAAAATTCCTGAAAATTGCAAAAATCGCAAAAATGCCTGAAAATTGCAAAAATTGCAAAAATGCAAAAATGCATGAAAATTGCAAAAATCGCAAAAATGCCTGAAGATTGCAAAAATCGCAAAAATGCCTGAAAGTTGCAAAAATTGCGAAAATTCCTGAAAATTGCAAAAATTGCAAAAATTCCTGAAAATTGCAGAAATTGCAAAAATTTGCAAAAATTCCTGAAAATTGTAAAAATTCCTGAAAATTGCAAAAATCGCAAAAATGCCTGAAAATTGCAAAAATTTCAAAAATTCCTGAAAAATGCAAAAATTGCAAAAATTCCGGAAAATTGTGAAAATTCCTAAAATCCTCAAAATTGCAAAAATCGCAAAAATGTCTGAAAATTGCAAAAATCGCAAAAATGACTGAAAATTGCAAAAATTGCAAAAATTTCAAAAATTTCAAAAATTCAAAAATTTGCGAAAATTCCTGAAAATTGTAAAAATTCCTGAAAATTGCAAAAATCGGCAAAAATGCCTGAAAATTGCAAAAATTGCAAAAATGCCTGAAAATTGCAAAAATCGCAAAAATGCCTGAAAATTGCAAAAATCGAAAAAAATGACTGAAAATGTGCAAAAATCGCAAAAATGCCTGAAAGTTGCAAAAATTGCAAAAATTCCTGAAAATTGCAAAAATTGCAAAAATCCTGAAAATTGCTGAAATTGCAAAAATTTGCAAAAATTCCTGAAAATTGTAAAAATTCCTGAAAATTGCAAAAATCGCAAAAAATGCTGAAAATTGCAAAAATTGCAAAAATTGCAAAATTTCCTGAAAGTCGCAAATATTGCAAAAATTCCTGTGGCGGTTTTTTAGCGATAAATTGTACATTGTTGTTGAAATATCTCGACCCTACGATAGATCTGGATACAATCATGGTATCTGTAAAAAATACAATAATATACTAGTGGTTGGTCTGCCATAATCCGTATAATTGATATTGAATCATAAAATTATGAAGTATCCCTAATTTATGAATTTTAATTGACTTGGCTGGATTAACATGCTTATCAAACAAATAAATAAACAATGTTATGCCATTACTGAGCAGGTAGAACGTGTTTCGATTAAATTATTACCGGAAACGTCGTTTAATGAACACTCTGTGAGTTCACTGCCTGTTCGAAGAACGTCTCAAAATTTCGAATGTTTATTGACCGTGGCCTATTTTTTAGCACTGCAACTGATATGAAGATGCAATAACAATGAGTAATATACTAGATAAGGTTATCCAACATAAATTCCATTGAAACAGCGTACTAGATACAGTAACAGTTTTTGTTAACTAGGTAATAAATAACATTGACGATGAATGATATTTCCTTTATAATTATATTTTCACTCGTATATTTTCACATCGAGTAATGTTGTCAGAAACATTATTTTGTTCAGGTATTTTTTCCATTTTTATTTTTAACATAACGAGCTGCACTGACCTCACCCTACTAATAAATTAGTTACTCAATAAGATATACATAGGGTAGTTGAAAATTTTAAATTTTTGAACACCCTGTATACATTCTTGACAAAATTTGTTGTGGTACATTGATTTCTTGGTGGGAATTGTTCAAATTATTGTTTTCAGTGAAAAATTCATGAAGTAAAATAAACTAGAATGTTTCAATTTCAGGAAATGGATCAATCGACTCAAGTCAGTTTTCCAATATTGGCGAAAAACCACAGAAAAATGAGAAGGCACAATACATCCGCAGATTTATTTGAAGCACTACCGAGCAAAGGAATACCACTGGCAAATTCATGGGTACATTCATCATAATTATCATCTTCATCATCATCTGACTTCCGAGATAATTTTTTCTTGTTTTCAAGCCAATCACGAAACTTCAGAATATAAATGTAAAGTCAACCGCTTTCAAAACGCACCTATTTCAGTCTCAACTCCTACCATTTTTTCAATTATTATCGCAAATCTTGTTTTCCAGTTACCACAAAAAATTTGAAATATTAATGTAGGTACATAGTCAACCGCTTTCAAAACGCACCTATATCAGTCTCAACTCATACCATTTTTCAATCATCATCACAAATATTGTTTAAAAGTCATCACGAGAAACTCGAAATATTAATGTACAGTCAACCGCTTTTAAAACGCACCTATATCAGTCTCAACTCATACCATTTTTCTCGCTCGAAATATCAATGTACAGTGTCCAGTTTTCGATGCTTTTGCCACTTTTTTGTGAAACTCAAGATGGCCTAATCATATTTTTCATAGCTGTTTCCGTTATGAGATACAGGGCGATTTTGAAAATTGATACTTTTTATACGACTCAAACTTATGATTTTGTGAATGGAACACCCTCTGTTTTATCAGCTTATTGAATTCCTTTTTTTTTTTTTCTCTTGAAAATGATATAAAGAGCTCCAAAGGATTGAGTGAACCACTCGAATTTTCGACATTATTTAAAATGCGATATCTTTTTGCGAATGAACCGACATTCAATCGGAAATGCAGTGTTCAAAATATGCCTCTTTCCTGTTTAGCATTCATTGTTCGGAACAAGTTTTCCAGTTATGACATACCAAGTGGTCAAAAAGCGTGTTACATAATCTAAAAAGTTTATAGGAGCTCCTGTATTCTCCAGGTTTTTCATTTTTCTGCAAATCAACTTTCTCAAATCTTCAAGTCAATATCTCGAAACGGTTTTGGAAATTCTGACCTTTCTTATACAGGATGTGAAATATCGATATTTTTCAATATTCTCTATTTTTAGGCATTCAAAATTTGTGTGGATTTAAAAAAGTTAAGGCGATATTTAAACTGTACTGCACTGTAATACGATCGAATTCAGTCCTGGTGAAGTTATCCACATGGCTTTAAGAGCAGCAGACCTAACAAAACAGAAAACTTAGGTACCTGATAGCAACAAATAAATAGTAATAAAATAAGCACCAATATTTACTAAAACGATTAAATTTCGAAACTATTCTCTACTCGCTCATTTTTAGAAAATGGAGCCAAAATAGTTTTTTTCAAAAAAAAATCTCAAATATTATACATTTTCGGTGAGCTATTAGAAATCTGAATCGAACTGAATAGAAATATATAAGGTGTCCCATCTGAAATAGAATATTTAGGCACCATTTTCTAAAAATGATCGATTAAAGAAAAAAAATGAGTACGCCACTGTATTATACGTAGAAAGTTATATAAGGCCCCATTCTCATCCTGCTGATAAGTTGAAAAGTAACCAAGATACGCAAGTTGCTCAAAAAGTGAAACTTTTCAACTTCGCGCCCTGTATCTCCAAAACATGAAGGATTGTGAAAATTCTGTTTGCTGCATTATTCGTTTCACACAAAAATAAGGCAGTGATGTGAAAAACGCACACTTTATGTACAGTCAACCGCTCTCAAAACGCACCTATTTCAGTCGCAACTCAGACCTCTCTCCAATCGACCTGCATCGTTGACCTTGACGCCGGAGGCCTACAACAGATCGAAAATAGTGTACATAGAAAGCCCCCTGACGAGGCTAACACATCCTGGAATGATGGAATCACCTGTGGGGTCTATATCCAGAGAAAGGACTCCACCTTTTTCATCCGATTCCAGTATAACCTCTACGGCTGGATTGAATTTCATTCCGTACAGATCTCTGCCGAAGGTGAGGATAAGTTATTTTGTATGGAAGATTTGCTAAATAGTAGTTTTCTATCACAGATGATGTTTATAGCCAAATATTTCATGAGTTAATTGTAGTTATCTCAATGTGGAAATTTTGGTAGACGATTATATTTTTCCTGCCTATTGTGAATGTAGTTTTCTAGTAGGTGAAGATTTGTAGTTTTCCATAGTAGAGGCGAAAAGTGTAGAATTCCTAATTGTAGACTTTCTGAATTGTAGTTTTCAATTGTAGTTTACTATGGCAGGTGAACTTTCTTTCTTGAATATCACGTGAGATCAATTGCTAGAAGTGCATCCCGAAAACTTGGTTTTCTGTTTCGAGCCAGGAGCTATTTCGCTTCCAGTCATCTGCTTATGATCAATAAGGCACAGATCCGACCTGTCCTGGAATACTGTTCCCATATTTGGAATATGCAGCACCCAAACATACCCTGAAACTGTTGGATTCTGTCCAAAAAAAGGCAATTCGTCTCGTGGGTGATGCCTCGCTCACAAATTCACTCACTTCTCTGGAACACCGAAGAGAAGTTGGCGATCTGGCTCTATTTTATAGATATTTTCATGGACGATGCTCCTCTGAAATATCAACAATTATTGTTCCTCCCTTGGCAGTCTCCGCGAGATTAACCCTCGAGTTGAGGCTTCGCACCCCTTTGTGGTCACTTTGGAGACCTGCAGAACATTCCTTTCCAAAGACTCGTTCATCCAACGAACAGCGAAGCTCTGGAACACATTGCCAAGGGAGGTGTTCCCCGAGGCATATAACCTCCAGAAATTTGAGAAGAACACCAATTCTTACCTCATTTCTCTTGGTTCTCACGATGTTCTCTGAACATTACAGGATATCCCTTTTCGTGGGAACCAGAACATAAAAAAGACTTTCTGTTCAAATGAAAGTTTATATCTGCTGTTTTTGGATAAATGATGACAATAGTAAGTTAGGTACTGTAGAATTGTAGTTTGTCGATTCAAATTGAATTACATGGTAGGCGATGTTTGTGAAGGAATAGTAGACTGTTCCAGTTGTAGTTCTCCATAGTAGAGGCGAAAAGTGTAGACTTCCTAATTGTAGACTTTCTAATTGTAGTTAACTGTGACATGGTGGAGGTGATTTTTTCAAACTGCCTAATAGCTTGAGTCAATTGTAGTTTACTATGGCAGGTGAACTTTCTTTCTAGAGTTTCTGTTCAAATGAAAGTTTATATCTGCTGTTTGTGGATAAATGATGATTGTAGTTTGTCGATTCAAATTGAATTACATGGTAGGCGATGTTTTTGAAGGAATAGTAGACTATCTGTTCCAGTAGTTGTTTTCCATTGTGGAGGCTAAAAAAGTGTAGACTTTCTAATTGTAGTTAACTGAGACATAGAGATGATTTTTTGTAACTTCCTGATTCAATTGTAGTTTTCTATGGCAGGTGAAGTTCGAGGATGACGAGAGCAGTGTAGTAACGCCAAAAACATATTGTAGATGTTTCGATATCGAATCCGGAGTGAACAGTGACAAAATCCAATTGGCGAACACGACAGAAGGTCTGTCTTGGAGAAGGCTGCACATGTCTAGGGCGAAACTGAAAGCGACTGCTACTACCTCAGAACTTCTATCGGGCTTTGCAATGATAGCTATGGTAATTCACTCAAATAAAATTTGGTCCATTGAAATAATAGTTGTTTTTTTCTCAGGTAGAACTTCAGATCAACACTCCGACCCACGTCCCTGAATGGCTGTTTGTGCTATTCGCAGTTTGCACGACCGTGTTGGTGGCAGTGCACATTTTCGCCCTGATGATATCCACATACATCCTGCCGAATATAGAAGCTATAGCTAAATTAGAAGTATGCGAAATGGTCACCGAAAGTCCCCACGAGAGGATGAAAGGATTCATCGAGATCGCATGGGCGTTTTCCACTATATTAGGTAGGTACCTACCTATCACTCCCAACAACAACAAAAAAAACCCACACCAAAAAACCCAGAGGTAGTCTATAATCTTTGCCAGGTATAACTTGTGCGTCAGGGTATAATCATATATACCGGATGGACTGTTCAAGACGACTCAACCTTTTGATATATCTTTGTACAGGGTGATTCACCATAAATGTCCCTCCCCCCTACTGGTACTAGCGGGAGACGTTTGCACGTCAGCAACTAGTCCCTAATGGGACCTCTTTGCAAACCCCAAAGTGTTTTAATGCGTGGTGTGGTTCGCTTAAGAGAGCTGGCTCTTCAGGTACCGTCCATCAGCTCTCTTTCAGAGTTTTTCGGATGTGTTTAGTAGGCTAGTAATATACTCACTACCATATGCTGCAGTGGCAGGCCTGCCAGCTACCTCGTGGGTGTGTATAATTTGCGGACTCGAATGAAATGCGGCCATGTTCAGCAACCAAATCGTTCTTTTTAATGCGTATCTTGATTCAGCTACACGATGAAAAGTTTTTAAAATGTTTTCCTAGCACCCCTGGAGAGCACTTTACTCGTGGGTTTTTTCATAAAATCTTGGGGACAATGGGATATTTGGGGAGTCAAATCATCTCAATTTTCTCAGAAATCAATTTATCTCATAAAATTCCTTGATGAAAAGTATTTGAATTTTCTCCTCAGCCCCCTGGGGAACACTTTACTCGTGTGTTTTTCATAAAAACTTGCGGATTGGATATTTTTGCAAGTCAAATCATCTGAATTTTCTCAAAAATCAATTTATCTCATGAAAATAAACAATGAAAAGTTTTTAAATTTTTCATTAGCCCCCCTGAGGAGCACTTTACTCGTGTGTTTCTTCCTAAAAACTTGCGGACTGGGTATTTTTGCAAGTGAAATGATTTTTTTTTCGAAATCTTCATCGTGTTTTCATGAAATAAATTGATTTTTGAGTTAATTGAGATGATTTGACTTGCAAAAATACCCAGTACGCAAGATTTTATGAAAAAAATAACACACGACTAAAGTGCTTCCCAGGGGGGGGGGGCTAGGAAAAAAATTTAAAAACTGTTCATCGTGTATTTTCATCAGATAAATTGATTTTTGAGAAAATTGAGATCATTTGATTTGCAAAAATACCCAGTCCGCAAGATTTTATGAAAAAACGCACAAGTAAAGTGCTCCCCAGGGAACTTAATTTAATTTAATTTAATTCGTAAGTTAAATATTGAAAAAAGTTCCTTGCTGTGGCGGGAGTCGGTCGCTTTTCCACTGCGCCAATTTTGACATAACTCCTCTAACCTACCCTTGTTGGGGGGATGAATCCACCCTCTACTACCCTTTCAAAATGCCAAAAAGGCCTTCGTTGACAGATGACACGTGACCTAACCTAACATTTTGTCGGAAGAATGAACAAGAACAAGAAAAAATGTTCGTTAACCAGCCGTTTTGTTTTTCAGGATTATTCTTGTTCCTGATAGAAGTAGCGATACTATGTTGGGTGAAGTTTTGGGACTATTCCTTCACAGCTGCGATAGCTTCTACGGTGATAGTGATCCCAGTGCTGGTGGTTTTCGTATTCTTCGCCGCCCATTTCTACCATTCTCTGGTAGTTTACAAATGCAACACTTCGAGCCATGACATGCAGAAGCTGGAGGACCTCAAAAAACATTTGGACGAAGTCACCGTGACAGTGTGACGAATAAAAAAAACGGATTTATACCGTCTAATGAATGAGATGTAGCTTTTAAACAAATCTCAAGACACAAAAGAAAACTGTGAACTCTTCATAGATCTGCTCTTCTACATATTTTCACCTGATTATAAAATTCAGAGAAAGAATAATGGCACTGTTATTTTATTCTAAAAACTGTTTTCCTTTGATCAATTAGGTACTTAGTAGGGAACCGAAAATTCTAGATTTCATGTAACAGTTAATGAAAACCATTGTAGATCTCTCTGTATTTACTACTTAGTTGACGAAAATGTCAAATGATACCTAATTAATGATGGAATGACAACTCTGATATGATATTTGACAAAAATGTGAAGTATATTTTTTGATAACCGTTTTATTTTCCAAGAAAAACAAGCTATAAATAAATATGATTTCATAGAAAAACGTTTTTTCATAACTAATTTGGTGATATGATTTTTTATACGCAAGGAACAAAGCCATAGCATAACTTTGCTCAAACAGACATTATACAGTGTGACACACTAAGATGAAGAGACCCCAGTTGTTTATTCATTTTTGAAAGCAGATATGGGCCGCCCTTGTCGCAATTCTCAGTGTGAATACTCCGGCTCATGTGAAGTTGGCGCCGTTTTTTTTTTTAAACTAAATTTTGTCCTAATTTCTAAGTATATTTGATGGGGTTCTAGATTTCCTGACTAAAAGTTTGAATAGTTCCAGCAAATCGTATAGATGTAAATGGAAAAAAAATATTTTAAGCGCTCACACAGCGCCGTTTTTCTCGAGAAAATGAAGTCTGATATATTTTTTCATTGTATTATGAAGAGTTCTGGAGTTCTAAACCTATTCCATCAATAGTTCTTATGAATTGAGCAACTCAAGGAAATAAAATACGGAAATGTTTCTTGGAGAAATACTATTTCGTTCTCTTTCCTATTGAAGAAAAAGCTTTCGAGAAAAAAGGAGGAAAATTAATTCAAAAAAATAATAATTTCGATAAATAATTATAATATCGAAGAATAGAACAGTTCTGAGTAGCGCTCGACGAATTCTTCAAAATATTCCAATTGTGTTTGTGATTAATCGAGCGCTACTCTCATCAGAACTGTTCTATCGATTTGTCACTAAAACACAATAAGAATATTTTGAAGAACTCTTATAACTCGACTGATCTGTTCTTTGAAATGAAAAAGTAGGTATCGATTTATTCGAACAATAAGATTTGTGAGCTGATTTTTTTAGATTTCATATTTTCTATTTTCGCATTTTTTTTTATTGAAAGCTTTTTGCTTCAATACGAAACGTATTTTATTTCCTCGAATTATTCAATAATTTGCTTATAGTTGATGAAATAGGTTCAGAACTCCAGAACTCTTTATAATACAGCGAAGAAAAATACCAGAACTCATTTTCTCGAAAAAAAGGCGCTGTGTGAAATTAGCGCCCAAAATTATTTTTTTCCATTTACATCTATATAGGATTTGCTGGAACTATTCAACATTTTTGTCAGTGACTCTAGAACCCTATCAAATCTATTGAGAACTCAAAAAAAATTGAGTATTTGCAAAAAATGGCGCCAATTTCAAATGAGTACAATACTCCCATACCGTGAAATTGGCAAATTTTCGATATTTTGATTGGCATTGGCGATACGGCAAAAAGTTATTTGAAAAAGCTCTCATTTTATTTTTTCTTGTAATTTTCATACTCCAGTACAGAAATAATAAATTAAAATCAAGGAAACGTATTGAAATAACTAAAATTGAAAATTATTAATTCATAAATTGATAAGTTGATCAAATTTAGTCTACTTCACTAGCTTGTCCCTCAAAATTCATAATTCGAATTTTGCATTGAAATTTGGTATGTAGAGTCAAAATCGAATCCTAAGCAACTTTTTCAAATAAATAAAATGTAGAGAATTTGCCGTTTTCGCGGGATTACAGTTGGCCGGGTTTTTTAAGGCTGTCACTGTTGCAGAGTAGTGCATAAAGTGTGACCCATGAAGGTCAACGTCTGTACCAAAAATCAAATCTCTGCTTTCAAAAATGACTGAAATACAGGGGTGTCTTCATCTTAAGTGTGCCACACTGTACATAGATATAAATTCAATTTTTCTTAGTAGGTATAAATAAAGCATTCAATTCATTCAATAAAATATTCTAGTACTACTAGTTGGTCTGCAAGGTCTCTGTCTTTGTTGTATCCTCATTATTTCCTTTTGCAGTCTTTCCTCTTCCTTTCGAACATTCTCAAGTTCAGTGTCAATTTCCTTCAATTTCAAATTTTCTTGTAGCTTTTTCCTACAATTCTTCACCCTGATATCCTCCTCCCTCACAATCTTATTCTCAGTCTTTCTTTTTTCCTCATTCTCCTTCAAAATCCTCAATTCTTGATTGTAGTCTTCAATTTTTCTAGTCATCTCTTCACGTTCAGATAAAATCTCAATCTGTTTTTGCTTGTTTTTTGCTAAATTATCATCTATTTGTCTTCTGACAATATCAATAACCTGTTTAACTAGGTTTTTTCTTGCAGTATCTTCACGTCTCCATATCTCAGTTTGTTTCTCATAAACAGCTTTTGCTTCTGAGTCAAAAATAAACTCCAAGTGTTTCTGTCTTTGCCTTTCTAACTCTTGTTGTTGCCTCACTATATTCAAGAATTCAGATATACCTTCTTTGATTTCATGTTTTTTAGATTCTTCACTAATCAAATTTTCCACTTCAAGTTGCTTCAATTTAGCAATGAGGTCTCTTTCATACTCCAAACTTTCTTGTATGTCTTGTACTTTCTTTTTCAGTTTCTGTTTATGCTGCCTTATATTGTACAAGGCACATTCTCTATCCTTGCAGCGTCTTTCTTCCATTATCCTCTTTTCTTCAATCTCTTCTACCAATATTTTATACCTAGTGTCTTCATCTTCTTTTTTTCTTAGTTCTTCACAAAGTTCCTGTTTCAGTCTCAACTCTGATATTTGTAGCTCCAAAATGTCTTTGAGCTGTTTTTCCTTCTCCTGTGTTTGCTTCAAAAGCTGCTCTTCATTTTCTTTCTGTTTCCTCAATCTTTCTTCATTTTCTTTCAAAATGCGCCTATTCTCCTGCTCCTCTTTTTCTTGCAACATCCTTTTTTCTATCTGCTGGTCTAGCCAGCTCAGCTTCAGGTCTTTGGTGGCATATTTTATTTCATACTGTCTTACAATAGGGTTATTTCTCTTCCACTGGTTGTACAACTTTGATTCAGCTTCACGCCTTCTTTTCTCTTCTTCATCCAACTTCAATCCCACATTGACTTTTTTTAAAACATCAGTAGGTATATCAGCCATATTAGACCTAGGTTTTTCAATTGAACGTCTATTTCTGTATACCATCATTTCTATTTCATAGGATCTCTGTTCTTCCTCCAATAATTTCCTCAATTTTTCCTTTCTCTTGAATAGCAGCTCTTCTTTATCACGTTTTATCTTAATCTCTTCCATTTGTTTGTTATTGTCCTCATAGTATCGTGGGGAGGTCCAAGAATAATATCTAGCATTAGCTCTATCCCAGTGTTCATAATATTTGGCCGCCCCAGTCCACATTTGATCATATTCGAATTCTTTCTCACGCCTCCTGATGATGTCATTTTCAACACAAATTCGGTGTTTTCCTCTGCGTTTGGGCCTGTTTTCCATCTAAAAATATTTTGCACTTTTAAACATGTTTCTAATGGGTAGGTAGTTATGGATTTGGAATAATATGATAGCCACAATATAGCCACCTTATTAGGTACCTTAAAAATACATGGCCAGGTACAAATTATAGTTCAGACCAAAGGTGCAAAATATTTTTAAATGTGAATATGTGAAGTAAATGTGTTCATCTTTTATTTTCGCACTGAACTGAAGGAATATATTTCCAATTTCGATACAAACAAAAACATTCATATCATAACCTCAATCCACGGTGAAATCAAAATCTACTCACCACTCACTGGAAGTTTCTTGAATGTTTTCGATATAACACTAGCACAACACTAGTAATGAAACTTGGTAATATTATGGATAGGTACCTTCAGAAATTTTTCGGTATTTTTGAACTCCAAAGTTTTGAGAATTTTCCCTCCTAATAATGAAAACTCACCATAAAATCACAGAAAAAAATGTCACATTGACGAATGATGGAATGACACATGTTGAGAATTTGAGATGTACTTGTTACGAAGCACAGAACAACAGAACATAAGAATATCAAAGCCGTGAATTGAGCATGGGACATAAAATAAAGAAGCTAAATCTTTCGACGCATTCCCATAGATTCTCGTTTCAGAAGTTTGTCGCCAAACCAGAACAAAGTACCATAAATTCTACAGGGTGAAATAGAGACCAAAATAGGCCGATTGAAATCAACTTGAAAATGCACCGTTATTGAGCCGTTAGAGGGCGATGAAGAAAAATTTTTTATTTCCAGATTTTGTTCAATATTTCAAAATCCTTGAAAGGTACTGCCAAAGTTTACAGAATTAATTCTGTAAACTTTGGTACCCTTCTGAAATTCGTAGAGCAATTTACTATAGTGAATGTACATGGAAATCACGATGTAGGGAAGAATGGAAATAAACATATATGTAATCAATATATGTATTAGGTATATTTTCTGACTGCAGTTTTTTAAATATTTTCCTTGGTTTTCGAGATGAATAAAATAATTCATGTTGGTGCTTCTTCGTAGGATACTAATTATTTATGATGTTAGATTATAGAGTTATCATTTTTTGCTCGTTTCTACCTCATTTAATTGTGGTGAGTTATCATTGACGGCTATACCTAATCATATAAATCATATTTACCAATTCGCAAACTCTTCATCATCCGATTTGGGAGCTCTGGTAATTTCCAAATTTCAGCAACATATTATGCTGAAGTAATAATTCATAAACATGATTATTATTGTGGTCAACAACTCAACACGAATGAGGCAAAAACTTGCAAAACATATTATGATAATCGTTATAATCATAAAAATGATGAATTTTGTTATATCTCGAAAATCAAGAAAAATTATAATAACGCTGCAGTTGGAAAAAAGTGAGATGACTGATTTTGTCACCCATCGGAATATCAATAAAATACGGTCAGTGCCGTACTAAGAAAAAAATATATCAATTTTTATTATACGCGAAATACCTATAACTTCCTGTATATATGAATTGAATTAGTACGACATGTTTTCCATGCAAATCTGGAAAACGGTTAATATAGGACAACGGATAGTAAGGAATTATATCCTACGTGCTCATCTTCTTCACATAACTTCAAAACAGCTGAGCCGATTGGGTTGAAATTTCATCGATGGTTTCCTGGATGATTTGAAAATACAATTGGATGCGGTAGGTGGCGCTGCTATCGGTACGTTAACTACTATAAACGACTTGACCGAATGGGTTGATATTTTTAATACGTAAAACAAAATATTAGCTCATAGATGAAAACCCAAAGTCATCTCCACATTGTGGAGAACTACACCACTCTACTTTGAGTTTGGTACCATGAACTTCTTCCAGATTGAAATAGTGGCTATAGATACGCTCCAAAAAATAAAATAACAAAAAAATATGTAGTCTGTCGGCTAATCGAGGAGGTGATACATTCATTATTTAAGATTTTTTGGGATTTTCTCTACTAGTCTCTATAACATAATAATATGAATACTATTTCAATATACGTGTAGTTAGGACAAATCAGATGATTTGCCCCAAAATGTCACTGCATTCAAAGAATTTTCCTATCAGAGAGCCTAAAAGAAAAATTCACTAGCTTGTCAGTGATAATTTGTATTGAAAAAGTTTTGGAGAAGAGAAATAAAAGCATTTAGAAAAAATATCAAATTTTTATTTATCTTTGGACGTTTCGGGAACGAATCGGCTCCCGTTTTCAACATAAAAAAGGATTTTTTTGTATTGCGAATTCGTATGTGTCCTGACACTTTTCAGTTCTCAGTGACAATTGGTGACGTTGGCAATCGTTTTTTATGTTGAAAACGGGAGCAAATTCGTTCCCGAAACGTCCAAAGATAAGTAAAAATTTGATATTTTTTCTGAATGCTTTTATTTCTCTTCTCCAAAACTTTTTCAATACAAATTATCACTGACAAGCTATAGTGAATTTTTCTTGTAGGCTCTCTGATAGGAAAATTCTTTAAACGCAGGTAATAAATTTAAATAATCTGGAATAATAAAAAAATATGCACAGGGTGATTCGCCATAAATGTCCCCCCCTCAAGCTCAGTTATTTTTGAATCGATTGAAAAATTTTAAATAGCCGTGAGGGTGTGGGCCCGGCCCGACACAAAAAAATCCTAAAGTTGAAAAGTCTCGATTTTGAACACCCTATATCTCTGTAATCATTCCCGCTAGACCCCAAGTGTGATACATTGATGAAATCAGCTCTTCAGGGAGAATCTTAAAATACAATGAAATACAGGGTGTTCCATATGAAAAAATTAAGTAGTTCTCTGTAGATCTTTTGTTCCGAGCACCCTGTATTTTCTGATGCAACGGGAAAAAAATTTCTGAAAAATCATTTTAGATGATTTTTCAAATTTTTAAATCGGTTCATAAATAACTGAGCTAGAGTGGGGGACATTCATGGTGAAACACCCTGTACTGTAGATATACGCGCATAGCTCAGAAGGACAACGACTGCAATACAAATGCCTTTTTTTTTAAGTGTATACAGCAACCGTGCAAAGGGCCCACACCCTCACAGCTATAGTTATTTATAAAATGATATCAGTGATAAAAGTCACTGCACTTTTGAATCCCATTGGTATTGAGGGTTTCAGAAATTAAATTACCTATCTATGATTAATTTATCGCAATCGACATCGAAATAATATGAATTCACTTTTATCTTTCTGTATATCTATCAAAATAAAAACAATAAGAAATAAACACAACGATTTTTGTTGATGATAAGTTTGTCAATCTATCATCACGGCGTCGTTTATCGTAATCCGGGTTCATAATAACTACAATCCGTGCTAAAGTATATACCTGATTGAGGTACCGAATAATAACATATATTTTGATTTCGTAAGTGTTGAAGTTGAAACAGTGACGTGTTTTAAAAATTTCAGTGCGATATTAAAAATTAATTGGGTGCTATACCTATATGAAGTCAATGACAATAAATGGCGAAAATTTTTTTTATCAAAATAATGTTGAGTATATCCATACCTTTTATAAACATTGTTTTCATTGAAGTAAACATTTTAAGTCTGTTTTGATACACCATCATATCGAGGAGATCGAAAACTATCGAAAAATGAAATGAAAAATTAAGGTCCGTATTTGAAAAAATAAAGTTGAGTATGGCCGCTCGAAGAACAAACGTCGAATTTCCAATTTGACAATTGCATTTTGTAGAGGAGGAAAAGTGGCAATGATGAAGTGACATTCATTTTGAAATATCTGTTCAAATAAATTGAGTAATAAATAAAAACGATTTTGCATATTTTCCTTTTTTTCCAGATATCTCCGGAAATAATTGAAATTTTTCCAATTTCAAAGCAGCATTTTGTTGGGCATGGAATGGTGCAACTTTGCCCTAATTTAACTTACTCTGTGAGATCCCAATGCTTAGCCACAAATGGGCTTCTATCACAAAAAAAATGTATTTCATAATTCGATAGAACTCACTCAAACTTGCTCACCACCGCAAACCATTCCTTGCTGTGAGCTCCCTACGTTTTATGAAAAATTATTGAAATCCCCGATTTTTCGTACCTCTGAAAACGAGGCGATGATGTGACGTCAAAACCCTAATACTGAAACAAGACTATTCCAGACAGAAGAGAATGATACATGATTTCTGACAGAGTGAATTAGCGCGAGATCACAGTTGAAAGAATTAATGTATCAGTTGCCTCAGTCTCCGTCGGGCGTTTGGTATTTTCTTTTAACTATGGCGAGATGAGGTTTCTACGTCATAAGAGGGTCCGTTTTCAGAAGGTACTATTATTTATGTCCAAAAATAAAACATTCCAGTTAATTTTTCGATCGAATTATGTCGTCAATCATTATTTATGTATAAAAGGATCATTATAAACATGGTTTGAGTTAAAAGTTCTACTAAGGTGTACACGCTCATTCGTAACGACCTTTATAGTCATTACCTATAAGAATTTAATATTATTAGATCATGAGTTAATTCAAAAAATATTTCATATCTCTTTATATGGTAGATGAAACATATACCTATTTCAAGCAAGTTAAGTATGGACGAATAAAGGAAAAGTAAAGAAAGTGGATATGAAAAACTTTTACTGCTAGTCACTATGACATATTACTTGATGTTGAAATTTGAACCTTTTTCTGAAAACGATATGTAGATACTATTTGAGAAGCACACATTATTTTTTTAATATTGAAATTCATAAATTCACTGCCTGATGGAAAATTAAATGCGTACGCCAATTGTACTGTGTAATCACGATAGCGGTTTATTTTTGCAGAACTGAGTGAAACTGTCCATGCATAACACCAAGAATGGCAAATGTGTGTTTCGTGGGGAACCACCTTATCATTATACCCATATCAAAACAATCAAAAATGTCCGTTATTTGTATATACAGAGTGGCACCAAACTCATGGGGATTTTTCGAATTCTCGAAGATATTTTTTAAATATCCTCCATTGGTATCTCAGTCGTCTCTCGAAGTATTCTTTTTCTCCAAATGGCATAGAATGTTGCTTTTCTTTGCCTAGGCAAAAAAGTTTCTTGTTATGTAACGTTCCAAGAAATTTGAATGAAATTGTTAATCAAAATTGACACTGACATATTGGGTGAACAAAAAATGATGGATATAATGTTCGAAGAACATAGAGATGTAAGATACAGGTCTATAAAAATCACAAGTTTCCATCGTTCACGTTTGAACCCCCTGATTGGGTATGAAAGTGTTGAAAAGGAATATTCTCAGATAAATTAGGAACATACAAAAATGGATATATATTTATATAAAGCAATACATTGAGAATTCGCATTCTCTATGTGATGAGAATATTATTTATTATCGGTCAAAAAATCTCACATGTCCCTATCTCAACTTTCGATTCACTATCTACTGATATTTAATCGAAACAGATACAGGG